CCTCTCCTGTGAACTCTGGCCCATTTGACAACCTAGTTTATCGCTGCTGAGTGTCTGCCAAGACATTTCATTGATTGAGAATAGTAGGTAGTGTAAGTTGGTCAGAATGTCTAACTGGAAGGAGTGAGCTGGCAAAGTAAGAGTGAAGGAAAATGTCCCCATTCAGAGATTGGTAAGTTGAGAGAATGCTTGACTGGGTTAGTGAGGAAGGCAAGATCACTTAGAACAGAGAACAGACTTTTCTCTTATGGACTCTGGAATTGTTCTAGCTACCGAACTTTAAACTTCGTCTACTGATGATGTTCAGCAGCTCTTACTTGTATTCCTTACTAAGTCTAGATCTGTTGTGGAGGCTGCAGGAAACCCCACACCACAACACAGCTCTTGTGGTATTTGTACAGTAGTAAAACACTGTACTTTTCCCTTCACGTGCAAAGCATATAGATACATATTTTTGTAATGTAAGTTTACATTTATAAATGGAGTTGATATTTCTGTAGATGCTTGTCTTTGATGGCTCATTCTTGAAAAGACAACTCTTACGCATCTTGGCTCTCTTGCCCTCAACTATCCAAACTAGTGACCAGAGCCCCAATCTCTTCCCTTTTACTGGAGAAGGGAGAATGTTCTCAACCATCTGGCCTCTCCTATAGTATCAGTGTTTAATCATTTGTAAAATTCCTATGTAGAGCAAACCAAACCTTCAACTTTTCCACCCAGTGCCCTTTTAGCTGAGAAATCTTCTAATATAACACCTGGCAGGATATATGGTTCTATGGCTGTACAAATCAACATTTACTGATAATAAACATTAATAAAACTAATTAACTTTAGTGTTTATGCTTTATTTTGAGAATTTCATACACAGTACTATATTTACAATATTTCCATCCCTCTTTCTCCCCCTCCAACTCCTCTTGTGTGTCCTCTCTCAAATTAATTTCTTTAATGTGTGTGTGTGTGTGTGTGTGTGTGTGTGTGTGTGTGTGTGTACATAAAACCATCTGAAAACACTGAGTGTTGCTCCTATATATACATGTTTAGAACTGACCACTTCAGATTAGACAACGTATCACTCAGGGGCCTTGTCCCTGGAGAAAACTGATTGTCCTTCTCCCAGAAGCCATTAATTGCCTATAGTTTCTTCATCTAGTGATGGGCCTTGTGAGATTTTCCCTATATACATTGGCAGGTGTTGTCATGTAGGTCTTGTTTAGGTTACCATATTGGTGAGATTTCATGGGTGCAGCTTCCCTGTCAAATATAGAAGACACTATCTCTCACCAGGTGTCTGGTTCTCTGGCTCTTATGGTCCATCCATCCCATCATTTGGGATGATCCCTAAAGCATAGGTCTTAGAGATGCAAACAATAAGCATGTCAGAAGACAGCACCTTCAACAAATGGTGCTGAAAACAAGTTGTCCATGTAGCAGAATGAAATTAAGCTAGTGTCTATTACCATGCACAAAACAATCAGCTCCAAGTGAATCAAAGACTTAAATATGAAAACTGAAATGCTGAAACCACTAGAAGAAAACACAGGCAGTACTCCCTAAAACACAGATGTAGGAAAGGACTTTCTGAATAAGATTCCATTTGCTCAGGAATTCAGGCCAGCAACTGACAAATAGGACTCTGGATCAAAGACCTTAATGTGAAATCCAAAATGCTGAAAGAGTTAGAAGAAAACACAGCCAATACCCTTCAAGATGCAGGTTTTGGAAGGGACTTGAATAAGATTCCATTTGCTCAGGAATTCAGGCCAACAATTGACAAATAGGACCATATAAAACTTAAAAAGCTGCTGTACAGCAAAAGAAACACAGTTGTGTGAATGGAATTCCATCATAGCATCTTTTGTATGCCAACCATACATTTGACAAAGGATTAATATCCAGAATATGTAAAGAACTCTAAAACAAAGAATCAAGGCAAAAACCCAGTTAAAAGTTGGCTATGCAACTGAACAGAGAATTTTCAAAAGAAAAAAGTAAAATGACCAAGGAATATCTTTAACAGTGTTTAACATCCTTAGCAACTGGGGAAATGCAAATTAACAGTACTTTAGGATTTCATTTTACCCCAGGCAGAATGGCAGAGTTCAAGAAAAGAGATGCTGTTGAAAATGAGGGGCAGGCAACAGCTGACCTGAACGAGGCAGAGCTCATGGCCTCCAGACTGATCACTGGGAAACCAGCATGGGACTGATCCAGACCCCATGAACATGGGTGTCAGTGAAGCCTTGGCAATCTATGGGGCCTCTTCTAGTAGATCAGTACTTATCCCTAGCATAGGAATGGACTTTGGGAGCCCATTGCACCTGGAAGGATACTGCCTCAGCCTAGACACAAGGAGGAGGGCCTAGGCCCTATTCCAAAGGATATGACAGACTCTAAAGGTCTCCCTATGGAAGGCCTCACCCTCCCTGGGGAACAGAAAGGGTATGGGATAGGTAGGGTGTGGGTGGGGGGCAGGGGATGAGGGAAGGGAGAGGGAACTGGGACTGACATGTAAAACAATCTTGTTTCTAATTTAAATTAAAAAAATGGAAAAAAAAAAAAAGAAAATGAGGGCCAGGAGAGCCCTTTGATACTGGTGCTGTTATAAACAGGTGCAGCCAACTATGGAAATAAATCCATTTTAGAACAATTCTTTAATATACATAGGATTTTATCACTTATTAAAGACGAAAGCGAATTTGCACAGGAAATGGGATATACTTGTTTATTTTAAATGAATTAAATATTATTCAGGATTATCAATATTTTAATTTTATAATCCATAGTGCTAGAAATATCATTTCACATAGATGTATACAAAATATCAGTAGCATGTTCATGGCTATTTCAGAGCTTGTTGCAAATTCTGTTCAAAGCTCAAGCCAAAATTCATATAACCATCTTTTTATGGAATTCAAGTCAGCACCTTAAACAGCATTTTAAAAAAACAAACATTTTAGCACAAGATATATTAACACAAGATATAGTTACCAGAAGGTATGTTAATTAGATTTTATGAGGAATAGTGATAGGAAAATATTATGACCTTGTTTTCTATAATAAAAATCATTATGCTTCTTTTAAAATGATTCATTTTTTTTTCATGTGTTTGGGTGTTTTTGCACAATGGGTGTGTATCTGTTGCCTAAGGATAACAGAAGAGTGTGTAAGACCCCCTTGGCACTGGAGTTACAGATGGTTGTGAACCTCTATGTGGATGCTGGGAATCAAACCTAGGTCCTCTGGAATAGCAAACCAGAGCTCTTAACCTGTGAGCCATCTCTCTAGCTCACCTTTATGTTTCCTTTAGAGTAGAAAATGTGCAGTTTTTGTTTGTTTGTTTTTGTTTTTTGAGGTTTTTTTCAGTTCATAACATATAGTAGTGAAATCTAAGTCAAGGAATTTTGTGCAACATTTATTGCTGTTGTGTGGTGATGGCATAGACAGTTCTGAGGGTATATGCTATGTGATGAGACATAGGTAATCTCTGCCAAAAAATTCCATAAATTCATTACGTGTTTGATTTTGAATTTGAATTTATTTTTGGTCATTTATTTAGATACCCTTTACTGTTGCCAAATTTTGTGTGATCCCCCTCATTTAGTTCCAGGACTATACATAGTGCTGAGACTCATTGTAGAAGATGTACAAATAATAAAATTTTTCCTTTTGCCAATTGGGTCTTTTGCTATTTTGTATATGTCCATGTTCATATGTGTGCCTATACACATGCAGACATGTGTGTGGAAGTCAGAGATTGGTGTTGGCTCTTGCTCAGTTGCTCTTATTGTTTTGAGATGGAGTCTTGCACAGAACTTTGAGTTTGCTGATTTGGCCGATTTAGTCTCCACCTTCCTAATGCTGAGATTGCAGGCATCCCTGACATTTTCACATAGTTGGTGGGGATTAAACTCAGGTCCTCAAGATTTAACAGCAAGCCCTTTACGCACTGAGCCATATCCCCAGTTCTCATTTTGCTTTTAATTCATTTGCCTGTTTTTGCACGTGTTTATTTTCCTGTGTCCCTGTGTACATGTATGCATTTGTGCATGTGAGCCACAGTAGAGAAGTTCCTTGGAGGTCAGAGGACAACCTGTAGTAGTCCTAATATATTTTGCTATTATGATTTTGTTACCGGAGACGGTTGGGGAAGACAAAATATCCAGAGTGTACAATATGACAGAGAGATGTTGCTGGAGTTTCTTTCCAGCTTCGTCCGGCAACCGCCTTGTCCCAAATAAACACACAAAGACTTACATTATTAAACTGTTGGCCAGTGGCTAGGGCTTCTTAGTGGCTAGCTCTCTCTTAATTATTAACCTATAACTACTAATCTATGTATTTCTACATGCCTTATCTTACCGGAGAACACCTAGTTGCATCCCATTTTCCCAGTCTCTACATGGGGGCATCTCTTCGAAGTCTCTTTCTGCCTACTTTTCCCAGAACTTGTCTCCTAGTCCCTCCTATCTTCCTGCCTCTGTTGGCCATACAGTGTTTTATTCAACAACCAATATGAGAAACATATATACAGAAGGCCATCCCCCATCAGAGAGAACTCTCCTGAGTGACTGCTCAGCTAATAACAATATTGTAAACTCTAAGATCAAACAGTGATAAGATGAGCTGGCAAGGTATTTATCATGTAGTCTGAATGTAAGTCGTATTATATGCCTTTACAGCTAGCCAAGATGAAAACTTACCCATCTTTTTTTCTGCTTGATTAGTTTTGGGTACTTTTCATATTCAGCTGACTAATTAAGGTCTTATTTCTTAGGCATTTGCTAGAAGTACTCCAAATTATGTCTGTTCTTTGTTACCTGATGTAAGGTGGTTCTTATCCCGGTGCTGTGAGAAGAATGTCCATTTGAAAGGAATCTACAAATTACAGAGCACTTTAAAGACTTATTTTAAAAGTACTGTATCTGTGTTGATCTCATTTATTCATACTATTAATGTACTGTTGCTTTTCTTTCTGTAAAAAGGCAGAAATCTGAAAGATGTCTTCCAGCAATGACCATGTTTTAGTACCAATGCCCCAGAGAAACACCAATGGCCTTCCTGGAATGAACTCCAGTGACACGAAGACGCTTACAGGAGATGTGTTAAGTTTTCATCACATCACCTACCGAGTGAAACTGAAGAGTGGCTTTTTAATCCGGAAAACTGTTGAGAAAGAAATACTCTCAGATATCAAGTATGTATATGAACTCTTTAAAAGACTGCTTTTTTTTTTTTCCTAGAATGACCTTCACAGTACTTCTGTTACCAACAAGTTGTTGTAAACACTTCATGTCTTTGTACCTATGTATATAGACACATCCTTTCATTTCTTTTGTCTAAACTAGGACATAAATTCCTGTATTGCTTGTTAGGAATATATTTTACTTGCAAAGGGACTGTCAAAACTTAAAAAAAAAAAGGTCTCATCTCTTTGAACATTTTAATGTACCATGTTGTTATGACTAGTAAGTCATGTTTTAGTGCTTGGTAGAGGTCTGACTTTGCAATTTACAGTGTTTTGATTGTAAAGATGTAACCTCAGATTTAGTCATCCAGTCTATGAAACGGAAGGCCTGCATGCACTCGTGCGCTCTCGAGCGCATGCACACACACACACACACAGACACACACACACACACACACACACACACACACACACACACCACCTGTGTATATTTGTATTGAAAAATAAAGATGGTATTTGAGTAAGTACTGTTTAAATGGATGTACAGTACATACTGTGAGATGGTACTCTGAGTGTGTGTACGCATGTTGTGCATGTAATGTTGAGGATTAAACCTAGAACTTTGAGCATGCTAGACACGTGTTCGCCCACTGAACCATACTGTCCATCCTTTGTGATGTTTTTCAAGAAGGTAGTGACTGAGTGTATCGTGTGTTCCTGGTCTCACAGTACATTGGTACAATGGCATGCATATTAGCAAAGGAGGAAGCAATTGTCTTAGTATCCCCTAGACTAATAAAGTGGAGACAAATCTTGTTTTTTTTTCTTACTTTTACTTAATTTTTATAGTTAAGGGGACAGCTAGGATTAGTATTCTCGCTCACTCACATCTGGCTTGGGAAAAGTCTTTCCTTTGCTTGCAGGGTTTGTAATCTTTCTCCTGCCAATGGCTTCAAATAAGTAGAGTCTCTGGTGCAGAAGGACTTTCCCTTACACTTACTTTGTCTCCATACTTGACACCTGAGCTTTCCTTCCCTGATGCTGAAATCACCATCCCAGTACATATGTTTATCATAGAATAGGGCAGGGGATGGGGGTGGAGGGGGAGGAAGGGATTCATTATACTCTGGCAAAGATTGTTAAGCAAATTGTTTTGAGATCATTTCAGAATGAAACTTGTAGGAACATAACAGCCCTCCCCCCACCCACCCACCCCAGTTTCTCTGTCATGCTTCACTGACTTTGCTGTCATCACTGCCTTTCTGAAACTCGGCTATCCACTTGAGACTCTTTTTATCTCCAAATTCCCCCAGTGTAAGTTGTCTAGAAGGAAGGACCTTCTCTAATGTAATCACTCAGTTGGCCAGCAGCAGGCAGGGGGAATTGTCACCTCATGCAAAGGCACTCATAGTTGAATACCTGCCCTTACCATGGTTCTATTTTTCCCAACCTGATATTTCTCTCTCATCCAACATGATGTGCCATCCACTTGCCATATTAAAATTGATTACCTGCCAATTTTACTGTTTGTCAGGTTGTACCATAATGTTGAAACCTACTTGATGGGTCCTTCGTGGGAGTCTCCTGACATTCTTCCAGATCCCTATTTCTCATTAAATGTGACCTGTGAGTTGCAGTCTCCATGATGACTCCAGTTTGGGTGCAGCTACCACTTTGACAGCTGCCAGAGAGTTATTTTCTGTTCACCATCTCATAGTTTGCATCCCACATCTCTTCTTTCATTTACTGTTGTAGTTTGAATGAGAACTGTCCCCATAGGTTCATGTATCCAAAAACTTAGTCCCCAGTTGGCATTGTTTGGAGAGGTTATGGAACCTTTCAGAGGTGGGGCATTGTTGGAAGAAGTGGACTGGCTTTGAAGGTTTATATCCCCTCGTCACTTCCTACATGCTCTGTTTCCTACAAGCAGTTGATATGTGCGCTCACAGTTTACTGTTTCTGCTTCTATGCCTTCCCAGATGCTGTGGACATTTAGCCCTCTTAAATAAAACAAACAAACAACAAAAAAAAAAAAGCAAAAAGCAAAAAAACTCTAAGCCAAACTAAACTCTTAAGTTGCTTTTGGTCATGGCATTATATCACAACAACAGAAGAGTAACCAAACCCTGCAAGCAAAGGAAAGACTTTTCTCACGCAAACCCAAGCCAGATGTGAGTGAGCGAGAATACTAATCCTAGCTGTCCCCTTAACTATAAAAATTAAGTAAAAGTAAGAAAAAAAAAAAAAACCAAGATTTGTCTCCACTTTATTAGTCTAGGGGATACTAAGACAATTGCTTCCTCCTTTGCTAATATGCATGCCATTGTACCATTGTACATTGTACATTCCTGGATCTCTGTTTTCTTCACTAACATTCAGCAATAACACATCATTGTTACTTGTGTTGGTACTCCTTTTGTTCCCAATTTGGTTGCAGGAAAACCTTCAGCATAATTTGCACTTCTCATTCACTACTTTGCTTTATTCCTCGTTTTTAGTATTTCTTTGATAACTGGAAGAAATTCCAGAATCACTGATTACTTATCCTTCCTGTGACCTGGGTTCCGCTGAGGTTCGTTTCTTTAGAAAATGGTCTTTACAACCAGGATCTGGGTACTTGAAGTTTTCTTTGCTGTTGTGGTGTCATTGCCTCTGTGCTTTCTGAATGGAAAGAACTAGGTAATATGTGTCTGCATGTATAGACACGTAGACGTTCTTTTGTTTGAAAAAAAATCTTCTCTCCTGTTCAGATGCATATAGATCTTGTTAGGTAGAATGAGAGAGGTTAGTAATTCGTGAGGCACTGGTGAAGGAGTACTTAGTTACAGGAGCACTTAGTTACTCTCACCTGTACAGGGACTTTCCTAGCTGTGTTTTTCTATTGCTCTCTGTATGTAGATAACAAATAATTCCTCATTAGTACATCAATTTTAATATAATTTACATTTGTTCTGCATTGGCATTTTTCTTTCTCCTGAAGATGTATAAAATTTGGCTATCATTCTTTCCTTCCTACTGTCTTGGATATTAAACCTAGGGCCCTGGACAGGCTAGACAATCATTCTGTCACAAAGCTACATCTCCAGTCTTCATTATTCTCAGTGTACTTACTGATGAACTCTTATTCTGTCAGTCATATAAGTAATAACCTGTCTAGCTTGTGGCTTTCTCTTCTCTGTTTCCCACCCTCTTTGAAGTTCCTTGGGTGCTAGTGTTGGCTGTGTAGAACTTATGCAGTCTTCCTGCTGAGAGAAGGGAGTCCAGTAGAAGCGGTTAGGAATTCTTGTTGTTAATGCCAAATTATGGCTTTTTAAAACAAGGTATAATGAATCCCAAATTGACCTCAAAATCACCATGAAACAAAGAATGGTTTGAATTCCTGATCTTCTTGTCTCTATGTCTCTGATTCTGGGATTACAAGTGTGCCCACCAAATCCCTCTAATTGAAAAGATTGTTTGAATAAAAAATAACAAATGAGATTATAAGACTCAAGTTTTGTGGACAGATACTTATTTTCACTAAGTAGTTTCTAATTTCTTAATTCATTAGTAGAACTTAGTTTAAGTGATACATGATAACATAAAGATGATATTTACTAATAAGATTATCTTAATTCTTGGTTTGTTTTGTTTTAGCTTAAAAAAATTTTTTTTCATAGAAGTCCCAAGCTATAATCTCACCAGTCAGGAAGCTGAGAAAGGAAGATTTCTTTGTGTTGAAGACCAATTGGGGCTACATAGTGAGTTCTAGGCTAGCCTGGGCTATAGTGTGAGCAACTGCCTCAAACAAAAATCTCAATAGTGAAAATTTAGATTCCATTATTCCATCATTTTTGAATGCCTGCTAGGTTCTTGATATTATATCAATTTTTTTCAGTTCTCGGAGACTTTATATTTTAATTAGAAGCTGGAGTACTTCCACTGTGTTAATTTCTGCTCTGGCAGAGGATGAAAAGATACAGCTGAAGTGGTTTGCTCTGAATTAGGAATGGGTGCATCATATTGAGTGTGTGTGCGCACGTGTCCATGTGTGTCTGAGGAGGATAGGGAAATACCCCACCTTCAAAACTGACATTCACAGCCTTTGTCTATAAACAAAGTATGACAAAAGGATTAACCATTGCTCACTAAAATGCAATAAAATTGACAGGGATCCTCCAAGAAGATTTCATTTTATACAATTCAGAGAGCAAAGTCTTTATGTATCACAGTTCTTACTGGAGGCATCTTACATGTTATTGAGGGAGGACCACACACGCAAAGGCTGTAAAGCAATAAATAAGAGTAGGGAATGGCTGAGGTGGATGACAGAAGGGTGGAAGTAGGGTGAGGAAGTTGGGAAATTGTAGGTCACAGTAGAGCAGAGGTCATCGGCATACACTTTCTAGAAAGGGGCTGATAGTAGATAGCTTCAGCTTTATGAGCCATATATCAGTGCTGTAACTGAGCTCTGCTTTATGGCATGAAGCTGATACAGCTCCGAAAGCATAGTTCTATCCAAATCACACCATTGATGCAAACAGGAAATAGGTAGCCAGCTAAAGTGTGCTGATTCAGGAGGCCCCAGACTTTATTTTTGGATTTGTTTATATACTTGTTTTCTTAGCTTGTTCCATCTCCTACAAGAGGGTCTCTGTGTCCATAGCATATATCAAATAATGGTGAGTGAGTGGTGTTGGAATTAACCACTGCCCCAGATTAGAATTCTTGGGATCCAATTTTATTATTTTCTTTAATGTTAGAATTTAGTGTAAATTATAAGCTAACCTCAGAGAACTATTAAACTATCATAGCACATTGATGTTCAGTTTTGCTTAAAACATTCTGGATTTCTAAGCCTTTGTATAAGTATGCATTTTTAAATACTGAGAGACTTTGTGGCAGTGAACACTTACTGAGTAAAAGGTTCTTTTCGTTTTTAAGCTATTGGTAAAGGAGACACATTAAGAGGTATAAACAGATACACACTGAAAGTTTACCCAGGCATCTCTGTGTTTGTATGTAGGACAAGTATGTTGGAGGGATAACACAATAAAAGAATAAGAGATTTTTCTATGTTACAACTTGATTGAGGCTTAATGACCTGTTACTATATTTGTCCAATATTTCACTGAGAGGTCCATCAGTTAACAAGTAAAGCAAGATGTACATTTCACCTTAACCTCCACCAGCCATTGGATAACTGTGACACATCAGGTATAGCAGACAATTAGTGGTGAATTCCTCTTGTGTTTAAGTGCAGTGAGACAGGTACACTAGAGAGTTCATTGCTCACGATAATGTTTAATCATAAGAAAGATATTTCTAGTCATCATCTAAATGAAACAGTTGGCAGTTCTGACTTTCAACTTGGAATACATACCATGTTCTCTGTGGAATACATCTTTACCTACTTAACAGTTCTAGAGGCTGGGCATGATACCAGGGTCATTGGATAGGCCAGCGTGGGTCTCTCTTCGACATTCCTTTGCAGCTGTAATGGGCCTACCCTTGATTCTCCTTTCTCTGGTCCATTTTCTTCAACCATCCTCCTTATCACCTGTAGGATATAATCATATTTTAGATATCATCACAGTCAACATTGCTGTAATTGCTGTAATTTTCCATCTTAGTCAATCTAAACATCCCTTTAGTTTTTTGAAACAGATGGCTTTGCATTGTATAAGTTATTAAACACTTCACAGGGAAGGTGGCAATTTCTTCTGAGAGTGTGTGTTACTAATTCTCTGTAGAATTAGTAATTTTCGTGTGTGTGTGTGTGTGTGTGTGTGTGTGTGTGTGTGTGTGTGCGCGCGCACGCGTGCGCGTAGAGAGAGACACTATGACTTTTAATCTGATTAGATTTTAGTAATGAGAGCATCACTCACTGGTATTCTAAAAATATTGATTGTTATGAACTTGGCTAGGTGATAAGATACTAATCATTAGCTTTACTCAAAAGCTTTTATGTACTTTATGTTGTTTTAAAGGTATTAAGAGGAATGCAGTGTTTTTGCAAATCTTCCTTCCTTATTTCAGGAATCCATTACTTTAAGAATCTTATATTAGAATCTTTCTTATTTAAAAGAACTTCAGTTGCTGTCCTGGGATGGAGCCCAGGGCTTTATGCATGGTTAGCATGGACTGTGCCACTGAGTACTGTCAGCAGCAGGAACCTGAGACATTGGCTCTACCATTTCCAAAAGACTAAGTTGTTTCAAGAGCAAGTTACAAAATGATAGTAAAAGAAAGGAATTTAGAAGGACCCAGCTATTTCTGATAGGGACTCATGGTTGGTAGCCTTTAGAATAGACTTCTAGCATCAGTGATTCTTTATCATTAAGAGGTTGTGCTGGTTGCAATTTCATCTTTTTTTATTAGTGTGTGAAGTGCAGATGTTAAGTTTAAAGAACTTCATGTAAAATATAACATTAAAACAATACGGTTTTGTTTCTAGTGGGATCATGAAACCTGGCCTCAATGCCATTCTGGGACCCACAGGCGGAGGCAAGTCTTCGTGAGTATAACATAACATATAAATAAGCCTTCTCTCTTCTTCTTCTTCTTCTTCTTCTTCTTCTTCTTCTTCTTCTTCTTCTTCTTCTTCTTCTTCCTTCTTCTTCCTTCTTCCTTCTTCTTCCTTCTTCCTTCTTCTTCCTTCTTCTTCCTTCTTCTTCTTCCTTCTTCCTCCTCCTCCTCCTCCTCCTCCTCCTCCTCCTTCTTCTTTTTTTGAGACAGGGTTTCTCTGTGTAGCTTTGGAGCCTATCCTGGCACTCTGTCTGGAGACCAGGCTGGCCTCGAACTCACAGAGATCCGCCTGCCTCTGCCTCCTGAGTGCTGGGATTAAAGGTGTGCACCACAATGCCCTGCTTAAATAAAATATCCCATTTACATACACAGGTGTTGACTGATCATTTGCAGTATATATCTGGTCTGGTCTTAGGTGCCATGGGTAATATAGAGTTGTACTGTCTCATAATTTTGTCCTAAGGACCAGAAAGACTTATTAGGTCAGCTTTAGGAATAGCACCTGATGAAGTGATTGGTATATAGTGGTAGACCATATTATGTATTAGTGAGGAGGTAAAAGAACGAAGTAATATTAAAATGAAGGCATGTAGAGAAAGTATCATAGAAGTCATGAATACTAGTTAGACAGCATGCTGTCTGGGTTGTGATCTCTGGGTCACTGGGGGAAGTCTTACTATTTAAGGCATTGTGTTCTAGCTTTTATATTTGGGGGTTTGTTGTAGCACATGATGAAAAGGAAGCAGAGAACTTAAAGCATGTAAACAATTTTTTTGTTTTGTTTTTCTTATTTGATTTTGAGACAGGATCAGCTATGTAGCCCTGGCTAACCTGAAACTCACTCTGTAGACTAGGTTGGCCTTGAACTTACACAGATCATCCTACTTATGCCTCCTTAGTGCTGGGATGAAAGGCATGTGCCATCATGCTCAGCCTATAAATTTGTTGTTAAAATATAAATTTATCAACTAGGTAAGTTTGAACATTAGCAGAATTTGCATTTAGAGCAGCTAAGCAAATATGGCCTGTATACAAGGAAAGACTAACTGTGTATATGTCCTTTATAGATTATTAGATGTCTTAGCTGCAAGGAAAGATCCACAAGGATTATCTGGAGATGTTCTGATAAACGGCGCACCTCAGCATGCCAATTTCAAATGTACTTCAGGCTATGTGGTTCAAGTGAGTATAAGTAGATTGGGTGCTTATAATTCAGTTTGCTTCCAATTAAATGTATAACATGCTCATAGAACCAATGTATTTCCATCAGATTTTCATAATCTTCCATTACATTGGGGGTGGTGTTAAAGAGAAAGACAGAGAGGACCTGGAATATGGCCCCTGTGTGGCAGTGGTATCAGTTCTGGCTGCTATCTAATTTCCAAAAAAAGTTTATCTTTCCTTCACCTTCTTTCGTCCCATTGTAGATGTCTTTGCTAAATCCTTCTGCCAGGCAGCCTTGAAATGTCTTGTAGCACTCGTTATATTACATGTGTCCTTTTTGGGTGTACAGCTGGGCAATGAAAATGATACCATTGAACTTTGTAGGTGTCTGTATATGTAGCTACTGCAACATGAGAGAATGTGCAGTTTGCCATTGCCAGAATTTTACCCTGGATGAATTTTGTGTATGGATTGAACTATATATACTCAAATGATGGTCATAGAAAAGACTCAAATGTCTCACTAAAATGCCACCTTGCTTTAAGGATGACGTTGTGATGGGCACCCTGACAGTGAGAGAAAACTTACAGTTCTCAGCAGCCCTTCGGCTTCCAGAGACTATGAAGAATCAAGAAAAAAATGAACGGATTAACATGGTCATTAAAGAGTTGGGTCTGGAAAAAGTAGCAGATTCCAAGGTATGCAAATCCCTTCTAGCATCACAGACAGGAAATAGCCTTGTGTGGGCAATATAACCTTAACTACAAGTTTAATGTCTGCATGATGAGAAAGTAACTGATGAGAGTATATAAGATAGATAGAAATTATGGTTGAAAACAAAACAAAACAAAACTAATAATAGCTGATTCCTGGGGATGGAGTGTGGTCCAGCGGGGCAAAGTGTTCCTCAAACGGCTTTTTCTGTATGTCCTTCCACCAACACCATTCTTATTTTTTTAGTTTGTTGTGAGATTGTGTCTTTTTTATTTATTTATTTATTAGTTCAAGTTAGGGGACAAGCTTGTTTCACATGCAGACCCCATCCACCCACCACTCCCCAGGCAGGGTAAGGCCCTCAACGGGGGCTCTGCAAAATCCACCAAATCTTCCTGTGCTGGGCCTGGGCCCTTCCCCATGTGTCCAGGGCCAGAGCGACACTATTCTTCAAGTCACAGTTTACTGTGTGTCTGCACTAACTGTTCTGCTACTTGTTGAGGAATAGCTCTTAAACAAGAAAGATGACCCAAAGGTTCTCGTTCTGTATGCATCATTTTTCTGTGATTTGCCTTCCAAACTAGTAGTTGGTCACATTAGGACTTACTATTTGTCTGATTTTTTTTTTTAAGTTACTCTTCTCTGTGTAGTCTGTCTTTTGACAGTTGAATTTCTCCTCTTTTCCTTCTAACTCTCCTTCCTTCCTTATCTACTGTCAGTATGAGCAGACATTTGGGCATTGGGTGAAAATGCAATAGCTGTACTTTAACCCTGAATTATTTTCCTCTGTAGAGGCAATGGGTAATAGTGACTGCAGGGAACTGTCGCTCTTCTTGGTACTTGCTAACAGTCCTTCCTGTGCTGTGTATTTTGTTGGGAAAAAATGACCTTAGGATGACACCATTTGACTTTATATCTGAATTACTGTGTTTGCTTTGCTATGGCCCTGTTAACCTGTTTGATTTTGTCTTCCTAAAAACAACTTTTTCTTCACTCTGTCTTTGTTTCTTCTTTTTGTGTGTTTGTGGTGCTGGTTACTGTTCCTTGAGCCTCATTCATGCTAGGCAAGTGCTGCATCACTGGACTGTACCTCCATCTTGTTCTTTACCTGTAGGCAGCCACTGCTGTAAGTTGCTTGTTTGGGTTTCCAGGAGAAATATAGGGAGACACTTACTGATTTCTTAGAGTTAGTATAATATAAATTACTAATTATTTTATTTCATAAAACATTAAGTATAACAAACACAGAGGGAAAATAGTCTGTTTACTATAATGTTAAAATTGATAGCTAAAAAAATGATATAATTGTTAATACTATTCTTATAGATGTCTCAGTTGTTAACATCTTATGCCATAATCTCTTCAGTTATTTCTTACTGGAGTAGTTTAAAGAAAACTTCATAGTCCTTTACCCTTAAATTATTTGTTATATGCTTGTAAAACCAGACATAAGACTAGGAGTGCTGCTCAGTGAGAGAACATGTGCTTAGCATGTGCAAGGTCTAGATTCTATCACTAGCACTTAAAATGAATAAATAAGTACAAAAGGAGGATATTTACCTACTTTCCACAATACCGTTTTCAACTAACAAAATGAAAAAAAATTATATATTCATTCTCTTTTGCTAAATTCTCTTCAAAGGTCTCTTGTAATTCAGTTTTTATTGAGACCCAGTTAAGATTTATGAATAACATTGCCTATAGCTCCTTGGATTTGTTTGACTTCAGAGTCATTTCCCACCTTCTGCATCCCTGCTCCCAACCCTTCCTGCTGCCCTCCCCACCTAAGGACAGCAAGGGGTTGAAAAGGTTGAGCCAGGTTTTCTGTGAAATGTCTCACTTTCTGGATTTGTCTGAAAGGGCAAGTCAGGATTCTGCAGTGAATTTATGTATAGACAGCATCAAATTGGAGACATTAGTACTTAGCATAGTGTTGTAGAATGTGAACTTTCCTCTTCCGCCCTGTCTAAGTCCACTTAGGGACCATGGGGGGGGGGCGCAACGTTTAGGTGCTAGATTATCAATGAGTTACTGTTCGTGTGCTCTCTTTTCCTCTTTATTGCCTATATCAGACTAAACTGTTACTCTTTCTTTTAGTGGTCCCATTCATTTGCTACCATAAAGCAAAGTGTGAGCTGAAGGAATAGCTCAGTTGGTAACCCGCTTACCTGACTTCAGTCCTCAGAGTCCATGTTTAACAACCCGCAGGTGGTGGTGCACACTGTAACCTTAGCACTGGGAGGCAGGGACAGGTGGAGTCTGAAACCTAACCAACTTGATGAGTCAGTGAGAAACACTGTCTCACAAAATAAATTGGATGGCTTCTGAGGAATAAGAAACTGTTAAATGCATGGGCTTCATTTCAAGTCAGGCCCACCTTTTGGCTCTAACCAGAGCTCTAGTTTACTCATCTGGTAAAAAAGACACTGGTCTCCCAGGTCTTTCGCTGTTAGTAAACCAATAGTATTATCATGAGATAAAGTGTCTCCACAAGAGACAGGTGTGTTTGCAAGAGACTTCTGGAGACAGTCCAGAGACAATTAAGGCTGCATAGGTCATTCTACCAAATGATGGCGGCCGTGTTCACTCGTGTTGATAAAGATGACACTTGCTTTAGGTTGGGACGCAGTTTACCCGTGGTGTCTCTGGAGGAGAAAGAAAGCGGACAAGCATAGGGATGGAGCTGATCACTGACCCTTCCATCCTCTTCCTGGATGAGCCCACAACTGGTTTGGACTCAAGCACAGCAAATGCTGTCCTTTTGCTCCTGAAAAGGTAATGCTACAAGAGCACTGACCATTTTTTTTTTTTTTTTTTTCAAAATCTGGTCACTTATATGTTGCTGGTATTCTTTGTGCAGGAGAGTCAGAAGTAAACAGAATCTCTTCCTACTTTGTTAAAGGGAAAGCAGTGATCCTAAGAAAGATTAAATAAGAGTAGGGATTGATGGCTGTCATGGGACTGGGTTGCTGTTTTAAATAGCAGGAAGGTCAAGGAGGATCTAGCACATGGACTTAGACCTGGGAGTATGGGAGTGAGGGAGTGAGACCTGGCTGTATCCAGCAACAGAGTCTGGCTGGAGGGAACCACCAGTGTCCCCAGGGCAGAAGATGCCTGATGACATGTCTGGAACATTAAATAGACATGAGAACCTAGTTACCTTAGAGTGGTACATATTAGGTAGTTTACAGTTGAAATAAAACAACACAGACTGGTGTCTTAACAACAGAAGCCAGTCTTCTCAAGTACTGCTATGCGAACTTAGCACCTGCACTCTGGTAAATGATCATGCTTCCATAAGTCTGCAGTGGATTCCAAGAGTCCTTCAGGGGGGTCTCCTAAGTGATATTCTCATTCTGATAGCCCTAGACCTTGAGTCCCACTGCGAGGACCAGGCCTCACACAGCTCTGCTCCTCCGGGTAGCTCCTGTTGCCTCTGGCTCTTACAGTTCCAGAGTGAATGTTGATCATGAATCTGCTTGCTTCAGTCTCTCTTTCCCCCCTTTGATTGTTAAATGTCATTGTACATATTTATTGTACCATGGTGCTATGGTATAGAAGGCAATTTCCCCACAAATCTAGACTATATGTTGAGTACACCCCTCCATATTCCCTCATCCCCCCAGTTCACATTTTCACTCCTGTTTCTTTTGTCCCCCAGACAGTTTCACTTCTGCTTTTATATCATAAATACATGCATGATATTATGTATCTATAAAATTAAGGAACTCCAGATGAGAGAAGACATAGGATGTTTGTCTTTATGAAACTGGTTTAGTTTATTCAATGTGATTTTCTCTGGTTACATCTACTTTCCTGCAAATGCCGTATTATATTACCCATTGTTTATCCATTTCTATGTTGTTGAACACCTAGGTTGGTGCTGTAACTTTTTCTGCATTCCCTTTACTTAGTTTCTTCATCTAATACTATCACCACACACACACACACACACACACAGAGAGAGAGAGAGAGAGAGAGAGAGAGAGAGAGAGAGAGAGAGAGAGAGAGAGAGAGAGAGACTGGTGCTTGCTCTGTAACACTGACCTACGGTTTCCTGAATAGACCTTCTTATGTTATACTCTGTTGAATGTATTCTTCAACCTTAAGTACCATGTCTCCCTTAGGTCACTCCTATGAGGCCCTTGGTAATCTACTTGGTAAACTTCAGACTGAGCTTCCCACTTTATATTTGATCATAGTCATTTCCCAAACTTGAATAGCTTACAGGTTACCTGGACTGCTTGTTAAAAATATGGACTAAGGGCCCTTTGGTTGGTTTCCTTGCCTGTTCTCTTCCTCTAATAAGGGTAAAAGGGTACCAACTATTTTCCTAACTACACTCTGGTAGATATAGTGTAGCACTGAGTCTCACATTTGATGTGTTAAAGATGCTACCACACTCGATGTTAGCATATTCCGTAGGTGCACGCTGTCACCACAGGGCTGCCTGATGTTAGCATATTCTGTAGATGCATGCTGTCACCACAGGGCTGCCTGCTGTTCTGCATCTTTGTCATCTGTTAAGCTTTAGAATGGCCCCTTACAGCAGCCCTCCTCCTCTAAGGCACACTTAATGCCAGCTCCAAAGCGTTTAGTGCACTCTGCCTCAAAACCCCTGACAGCTATTAGGGTAGGCTCCGAGTAGGGAAGTGAGGGCCTAGGAGTTAGACAAACTCCCTGGTAGGCAGACATGGGGAGAGGGACTGGGATTAGATTATCAAGATAATGAGCTTTCAAGATTGCCCAGCGTTTTCCTGCCCTCCTGACCTGAGACAAAAGACAGGTGGCTTAAGACAAACCTACCCCATTCCACCACACCACCACGCCTGTGGACCATTCTGACAAGTTCAAGACCAAACCAGGATGGGTTTACCCTGAACTAATGGACATCAAAAATCCTTTAAAACTCCCAGTTCTCAGTGAAAAGCCAGGGTTTGGTGACCATACCCTAAGCAGTCCTTCTTTCTGTGAGCCCGCTGTATGTGTTTCCTCGCCTTAATAAAAGCCTTTCTTTGTCTTTCACGCATGTGTGTGTGTGTTCGAGTGTGTGCGCATGTGCGCGCACATGCATTCTCCTAGAGATTCTGTTTCAGTATCTGTGAAAACTGTCTCAGTGTCTGCATTTGTCAATAAACATTCTAGTGGACTCTGCTCTGCCCAGGCTCCTTTCTTAAGAAATCATGGCTGGATTTGTTTGTCTTGGGTTTCTGTTTGTTTGTGCTTAAGGATAAAGTCCAAGGCCTCTCACATGCTAAACCCTTTATTTACAACTGATCTCCAAGACAGCTGTGCTCCCAGCTGGTCTAGTTTTTAATAAAGGCCATCAAGTTTCATCTCCCTAGGAATCAAGCAGATACCTTGAGATGAGCTGATACAATGTATGTATAGGAGAAAAGCAAGTTGAAAATTGGGACAGATGTTCTAACAGCTGGAATAAAGCATTATTTTAACACTAGATGTAAGGATGAGAACCTTAACAACTCATTATTTGCTTCTTATAACTTAGGATGTCTAAACAGGGTCGAACAATCATCTTCTCCATTCACCAGCCTCGGTATTCCATCTTTAAGTTGTTCGACAGCCTCACCTTATTGGCCTCAGGGAAACTCATGTTCCATGGGCCTGCACAGGAGGCTTTGGAGTACTTTGCATCAGCAGGTATGGTTGGTTGTTCCTTCACAGGATGTGGCTAGAGCAGAGGGTCCACAGGAATGCTGTTTAGTCTTCATGTAGACTTACCATGCTTCTTCCATTCGAAAATACTTTGCTCAGCTTTGTGTTAGTATTTTTCTTCAATTTGTGCCTGCTTGTGTAGATCTTTCGTTTTTCCTGTGCTGTTTGTGTCATTTGTGTCTGAGTGTATCTAGCTAAAGGGCCCATGCTACTGCTGTTTCCCAGTCCTGGTGGCCTTTCCCTGCAAGGGCGGTAGTTATCAGTAGACTCACCGTTAGCATTTTGCTCAGTTGAACAGTTTGGGGAAGACCTAGGATTGTTGTCTCCTTGACTACAGGGCAGATTTCAGTTTTTCAGTTGTCACCAGGCATGTGATCTTGCTGTGCTTTATTATGGGCTCATGGGCTGATGCTTAACTTTCTAGCAACATTAGGTTGACAGTTTAGTCTGTGAGTGGTCTTGAGTGCCGAGTCTCAAACCTCACTTTGATGAGCCAGCATTTTTGACACTTCTGAGTTGCTTTCTTCTACTTCAGATTAAATTACATGATTTCTTTTTAGATTTATTTACTTTATATTTTTATGTATATGAGTGCTTACGTTATATATGTGCACCTAAGTAGGGCTGGTGCCATGAGACGTCAGAATAGAGTATTGGATCTCCTTAGGACTGGAGTTACAGAAGGTTCTGAGCTGCCATTTGGGTGCTAGGAGCCAAACCTAGGTCCTCTGCAAGAACACATGCTTTTAACTGCTGAGCCATCTCTCCAGCCTTGTGATTTCTTTTTAAATGCAGTATGTATAATCTTTTTTTTTTTTTTCATTTTAGAGATACCTGGCTAAGATTACAGATGATTCTTAATGACCTCAAGATTTTAAATATTCTTTGCATTCTTATATTTTAAAAGCATAATCTGTCATTTAAGATAATTGAGCATACTTTGGTTAAGAGCACTGGCTTCTCTTCCAGGGGACCCTGGTTTGATTCCCAGCACTCAGAGGATGACTCCCAACTGTGTGTAATTCCAGTCCCAGAGAACATCCTCTTCTGGCTCTGCAGGCACCAGGCCCACATGTGGTACACAGACATACATTCAGGAAAAACACCCATACACATTTAAAACAAAAGATTTTTGAAGAAAAAACTAAAATAATGTAGCCCGAGATTGGGGCCTTCAGTGGGTATGTATTTGAGACAGACTTCAGGCCAGTCTGAGAGGACTGTAAAGCTGAGATCAGAGTTAAAAGTGCGCAGTACTGTCTGTGTTCTCTTAAGAGTGCTGCCCAAACTTGCACTCTGTTGGACTGTGGCAGTATGACACAACCTCTCCACTTAGCTGAAGAAGCAATAGTGATGCCCAGATCTGAATTCAGAGAGCACAAGGACAGCTACTGGCTTTTGTTTGTTTGTTTTTGTTTTTTGTTTGTTTTCTGACCTGGATTTAGATCTTGGAAGGAAGACTAGTAAGTACTGAGCATATCAGTACCTTTTGCAGATCATAATTTATGGTAAACACCAATGTAAGATCTTCTCAAGTGTCCAAAATTGCTTTTGAGTTATGGGAATATTTGTTAAGCATCTTAGAGAAAACGGTGTATTAGTGAAGAGGAAAGAGTGAGAAGGAGAACTTGTTAGATTCTGTCTTCCCAAGCCTCCCCTCCCTCCCCCTGTGTGTTTTCCTAGAGCATCAGTTTTGTGTCCTTCCATTGCCTTCTCTTCCAGGTTACCACTGTGAGCCCTACAATAACCCTGCAGATTTCTTCCTGGATGTCATCAATGGAGATTCTTCCGCTGTAATATTAAATAAAGAGGAAGAAGAGCAGGGAGGTATGTGACTATTATCAATTCATACATTAGTGTCCGGTTGGTTTGATTAAGCCACAGTAGGGTGGCTCGTTGAAACATGCTTGTGGAGGCCGGCCAGGACTCCACAACAAGAGCCTGCTTCAAAACAAAGAGATGCTTTTTAAAATCATGTTAATTCAGTGTTGTGAAAGGAGTCAATAGACACTGTTGTCTGTAAGTACTGGGGTGTTTATCTAATTTGTAATGAGTGTTTTCCTGAAAGTGTCAGTTGTAAGGCACCTTTCCACTTTTAAATGGTTATTTTTGTAGTATTAATCAGGGTACTCTACATTAATAGATCTCATAGATTATATATGTATGTATGCATGTATGTATGAGAGTGGCTTACATGCTGTGGTTCAGCTTGTTCAAAAATGTCTGTCTATTGACAGAAAGTTCAAGAATCCCGTAGTTGTTCAGGCCACAAGGATAGCTGTCTCACCTGCTCTTCAGTACATTTTGTAATCTTGAAGAAGTAGTCTCTAATGTCAGTGAAGGAATGCCAAGCAGCAGGATGTGTGAACTTGCCAGAAGAATGAGGACAAGCAGGCAAGAAGCAAGAGCTTCCTTCTTGCATATATTTTATATAGGATGCCACCAAGAAGTATGGCCCAGATTTAGGGTTGGTCTTCTCACCTCAAGTTAGTCAACCAAGAAAAAAATCACTCACAGGTGTACCCAGCAACTTGAGCTTTAATTAATTCCAGATGTAGTCAACTTGACAATTAAGAATAACCATCACAAGTATTTTATAAACCAACCAACATTAAGGGTGACTTAATGTTTTTAATCCCAGCACACCAGCACTTGAGAGGCAGAGGCTGGCAGATGCCTGTGAGTTTAAGGCCAGCCTGGTCTAGATAGCAAGTTTCAGGCCAACCAGGGCTACATAATGATATCCTATCTCAAAACAAACAAACAAAACAAAATCCCCAAGAAATAGCACTTTATGCATTTGTGCATAGTAGAAGGCAAAAAAAAAAAATTCTAACTCTGTACAGTATAATATCTATTTGAATAATTAGGGTCTAAACTGATAGAAAAGGTCAGTGAGTTTTCTGTATCCATAAGATGTGGCCATGTACATATCAGTTAGCTGTTTTATCATATGTAAATCAATAACAGAGTACGTAATTTTGTTATTTTGAGAGTGTTTTACTACTATGTAGCTCTGGCTAGCCTTGACCTCATTATATAGACCATACTGTCCTCAGATTCACAGAGGTCCATTTACCTCTGCCTGCTCAATGCCGGGATTAAAGGCACATGCCACCATGTCTGTCACCACCCCAGAGGCAGTGGGATCTGGGAGAATGGAGCTGATAAATGAGGTGAATTGAAGTCTCATGCACTGCCAACTTCATTCAGGGCCTCAGACAATTTATACTCTGAGGGCGAAGAACAGTCACTTGGGTGAAGTTCTCATGCATTCAAGCTGAACACAATCACAAGGACAAGCCCCATGTGGCAAAACAACAACACAGCAAACAAAAACAAAGTAGGGAGCCATAATGAGTACTCTGATGTAAACTCACTCCTATCTGCCACACCTGGGACAAGCACAAAAACACATTCTAAGAACATTCCATGCTTTAAAGAAACTGAGGTCAGAAGGTATCTTAGTTAGGGTTTTATTGCTGTGAAGAGACACCATGACCACAGCGACTCTTAAAAGGAAAGCATTTAATTGGGTCTGGCTTTGATTTAAGGGATTCAGTCCATTGCCATTATGATGGAAAACATGGGGCATGCTGGCAGACACGGAGCTGTAGAGGAGCTGAGAGTTCTACAGACACATCTGGATCCACAGGCAGTGGGAAGAGACAGTGAGACACTGAGCCTGGCTTGAGCATCTGAGACCTCAAAGCCACAGTGACACACTTTCTCCAACAAAGCCACACTTACTCCAACAAGAACATACCTCCTAATAGTGCCTGTCCCTATGAGCCTATGGGGCCATTTTCATTCAAGCCACCACAAAAAGACACTTGTCTCATTTTCTTGGAGTGTTCTCAACAAGCACTAAGAATTCTCTTTACAGCCGGGCGGTGGTGGCGCACGCCTTTAATCTTAGCACTTGGGAGGAGGAGGCAGAGGCAGGCTGATCTCTGTGAGTTCGAGACCAGCCAGGTCTACAAGAGCTAGTTCCAGGACAGCCTCCAAAGCCACAGAGAAACCCTGTCTTGAAAAACCAAAAAAAAAAAAAAAAAATTCTCTTACATGACTCCATTGCTGGACCATGTTCTAGCACATGCCCAGCCAATATGCACAAGTGTAGAATTAAGGGAAGTATGGAACCATAGAAAAATGAGTTAAATTGGTTGTTATGTGTTAATATTTCACTTCTGTATCCACATTTATCCAAAGCAAACAAAACTGAAGAACCCTCCAAGAGAGAGAAGCCAATAATAGAATGCTTAGCTGAGTTTTATGCCAAGTCCTCCATCTACAGAAAAACAAAAACTGAATTAGATCAACTTCCAGTGGATCAAAAAAAGAAAGGAATATCATCAACCTTCAAAGAGTCCACATACGTTACCTCCTTCTGTCATCAGCTCAGGTGGATTGCCAAGCGTTCATTCAAAAACTTGCTGGGGAATCCTCAGGCCTCTATAGCTCAGGTAACCCGACAAATGCCCGCTGTGCTGTGAAGTACTGGTGAGGACAACTTGGTTCCCGATTCTTCTTCTCCTGCTACTATTATGTCTGCTTCAGGATTTTATTTCTTTTCTAGTCATCCTTCTATTTTTCTGTCATTTCCACTGTGTCTTTATTAACAGAATTTGGTTTCAATTTCAAGTTGTAAACACCATTCTTCTTTGTGTTTCTCTCCCCTGGGTAGTAAAATTTGGTGAAAGACATTCTTAGTTCATGAATGTATAAGAATATATAGTTGGCCCAGTTTGACATTTGTGCCACAGCTTACTGACCTTTGTATAGGACTTGGTTTTTTATAATCCATGTTCTTTATTTCCATGAGCATTGAGTTGATACAATGTTTTATGGTGTTATGATGACAAATCTTTTCTTCTGTTTGTAATAGGTGAACTTTGGCTTGAACCAGTTAGTTATTTACATGATTTAGACTTAGCAAATAACCAGACGTGGTTGCATTTGGAAGATCTCAGAATGAATGTGGTACTTGCAATAAACATATTTCATCTGTTTAATGTGCTAACTTTTTTTCTGATTAAATCCACTTGGAAGAGAATGTTAGTCTCTTGTAGTACTTGACGTGTCTCCCATGGCTTTCTTATATAGCTCAGGCTCACCTGCCCAGGATTAGCATTTCTCAAAGTGGGTGATCCTTCCTACATAAGTTAGCAATAAAGAAAATGCTCCCCAGACATGTCCACAATCCACTCTAATGAAGGCAGTTCTCCAATGGAGGTTCCATCTTCCCTTCAGTGTCAAGTTGACAACCCAGACTAGCTGCCATAACAGGTACCCCTGGGAAAGGATGGACACGATCATAGAGGTTAATTCTTTTGACAGTGTGTTTCAAAGATGTCTAGAATTGGCTTTAGAACCTAGAAGCTTTTAGGAAACATGCTAAGGGTGATACTTGCAGTGTGAGTATAGCAAGTTTGAATGCAAAAGAAGCAATGTAAATATGTAATTTAGAATAGTGAGTGCTCCTTAAAGTTGTACTTGAAGACTGTGTTCAAACTACAAATTGATAGAGCTGTCGGAATTTATATTATAAGCTTGGCCTCTTAATTAAAGTAGAAGGTTTTTAAGAATATGCCAGGGTAATAGGCTTTCCCCATCCTAAATTTCTATCTTAATAGCAAAGAGATTTGTAATTCTCTCCTGAATATGGTATTTCCAAGTCTTCACAGGTCATGATTCTGTTTTCCTACTTTACCTTGCATCTTGCCAAAAATGGCCTTCACAAACTACTTTATGATAGGCTGGAGAGATACATCGGTTAAGAGCACATACTTCTCTTGCAGAGGACTAACGTTCATAACTCTAGCTCCAATAGGAGCTGGCATCTCTGGCCTCCTTGGGCACACGCTGTCATGTGCACTAGTGTTTGTGTGTGTGTGTGTGCACATGTTTTGAACCAAAAGAGTTGGCTTTTTTTTTTTTTTTTTTTTTGGTTTTTCGAAACAGGGTTTCTCTGTGAGCTTTGGAGCCTATCCTGGCACTCTCTCTGGAGACCAGGCTGGCCTCAAAAGAGTTGACTTTTTCATAAACAGAGATGTTATGCATTGATGCAACTATCTAGAATATTAAATGTATGCTTATAACCAATTTTAGTTCTGTTCATGCTGTACTTATTTTTTGATACTGTTAAAGTATCAATAATTTTTGAGCTTTGAAATTCTTATAGAAATGAGTATTTCATTTTCTTTAGATGAACATTTCTTACATTTAAAAAATTACCTGTAATATATTAATAAATAATATTATATAACCTTTAACCCCTTGCTGCTTGAAGCATTCTTTTTTTTATTTTTTTATATTTTTATTAGTTCAAATTAGGAACAAGCTTGTTTCACATATCAATCCCTTCTCCCTCTCCCTCCCCTCACCC